GGGGGGAGAGGGGACGGGGATGAGAGCGTGAGGATGATGGGGTTGAGGCACAACGCCTGCTAGCGAGGGAGGAGATGACGTGGTCCATGTCAAATACGTCGGACAAGGTATGCCCACACCTCCAGTCCCGCACCTGCAGTCCCGCACCTGCAGTCCCGCACCTGCAGTCCCGCACCTGCAGTCCCGCACCTGCAGTCCCGCACCTGCAGTCCCGCACCTGCAGTCCCGCACCTGCAGTCCCGCACCTGCAGTCCCGCACCTGCAGTCCTGCACCTGCAGTCCCGCACCTGCATTCCCGCACCTGCAGTCCCGCGCCTGCAGTCCCGCACCTGCAGTCCCGCGCCTGCAGTCCCGCACCTGCATTCCCGCACCTGCAGTCCCGCACCTGCAGTCCCGCGCCTGCAGTCCCGCACCTGCAGTCCCGCACCTGCAGTCCCGCGCCTGCAGTCCCGCGAATGCAGTCCCGCACCTGCAGTCCCGCACCTGCAGTCCCGCACCTGCAGTCCTGCGCCTGCAGTCCCGCACCTGCTGTCCCGCACCTGCAGTCCCGCGAATGCAGTCCCCCACCTGCAGTCCCGCACCTGCAGTCCCGCACCTGCAGTCCTGCGCCTGCAGTCCCGCACCTGCAGTCCCGCACCTGCAGTCCCGCGCCTGCAGTCCCGCACCTGCAGTCCCGCGCCTGCAGTCCCGCGCCTGCAGTCCCGCACCTGCAGTCCCGCACCTGCAGTCCCGCACCTGCAGTCCCGCGCCTGCAGTCCCGCACCTGCAGTCCCGCACCTGCAGTCCCGCGCCTGCAGTCCCGCACCTGCAGTCCCGCACCTGCAGTCCCACACCTGCAGTCCCGCGCCTGCAGTCCCGCACCTGCAGTCCCGCACCTGCAGTCCCACACCTGCAGTCCCGCGCCTGCAGTCCCACACCTGCAGTCCCGCACCTGCAGTCCCACACCTGCAGTCCCACACCTGCAATCACGGCAGCACACCTGGAGTCACCTCACCACACCTGGAGTCACCTCACCCCACCTGGAGTCACCGCACCACACCTGGAGTCACCGCATCACACCTGGAGTCATCGCACCCCACCTGGAGTCACCGCACCACAGCTGGAGTCACCTCACCTCACCTAGAGTCACCTCACCACACCTGGAATCACCTCACCACATCTGGAGTCACCGCACCACACCTGGAGTCACCGCACCACACCTGGAGTCCTGCCAGAAGGAGCTCTTATCGAGCTCGGGAACGACGAGAGTGGCGTTGAGGATTCGTGCCACTGCCACCATGTCACAGATCTGCTTGTGATAATAACGAAATGGTCGAATAGGAACACAAAAGCTAGAATTTGGAGCCACCCTAGTCGCAGATCCGTTTGTGACAATATGGAAATGGGAGAGGACACAAAAGTGAATCAAAGAGACGAGAAAAACGAAAGGACCAGAAGCCACCATGTAACAAATAAGCAGTGAATGTGAGAGTAAAATAGTGAAGTGATGGAGACTGCGCAATGTGAGGCGGGCGAGTAGGTGGTGTGATATGGCATACAAGGCATCCAGGCAGACATTAACCACGGCGCATGCCATACATACCCCAGCGCGCATCTGGTTGAGCCCTCCATTGGCATGCACCGTCAGATAGCCTCGTGTCCTCCTCCCACTGGCTGCCCCATGCCATGCCACGCCACGCCACGCCACGCCATGCCATGCCATGCAATGGCATGCCACGCCATGCCATCCAGAGAAGCATCACCGGTGTCATGCCATACCAAACAGTGCCAAGCCGACCATGCCATACAGTCACAAAGACAATGTACGTACATACAAACATATTGTACACTCCACATACAAATAATCAGGAAGTTAACTTTGTACAGCACATTGAAGTGGCACAATAAGGAAGGCAAAGTCGCTCAAAGCATCTCAAGGCCTACAACCCCTCACAAAGCCCTTCACCCCTCTGCTCACCTCGCTTGTAGCTTTCACTGGGCTCCACACAAGGCCCATACCCATGCGAAGGAGGGTTCTGCCACAACCGCTTTTGAAGGTCCTCTGCCTGCCATCGCACATGGGATGGGATGGCATGGCACATCGGACGGCATGGCATGGCACATGGGGTGGCATGGCATGGCACATGGGGTGGCATGGCATGGCACATGGGGTGGCATGGCATGGCACATGGGGTAGCATGGCATGGCATGGCACATGGGGTGGAATGGCATGGCACATGGGGTGGCATGGCATGGCACAAGGCATAGCATGGGAAATGGCATCGCGTGGCATGGCCTCAAGAGCATGATGGTTTTCAAAATACTCAGGAGGAAAAGACTCTCAATTCACAGCATTTTAAGCACGAAATCTTGTCACTGCTCGCCCAGCCACTCACGTTTACCAACAAACACATGCCTATTAAACAGATTCCCAGAGAAACGTCACCGCACCTACCCACATAGTAGCCAAAGCTGCTGAGATCTGATGCAGGCAGGAGCTAAGCTGTGCCTCAGGTGAGGACAGCTAACCAGCTATCAGCCACACACCACACCCGCACCGTGACGCACCTACCGGCACACACCCACACCGTCACACACCCACCTTGTAGCTCAGGCTACTGGGCTGGGATGCAGGCGGTCTAAGTTGACTAACTAGCGGCCAGCTCCCAGCCACATACCACACCGTCACCCACCCACCACACCCACCACACCCACCGCACCCAGCGCACCCAGCGCACCCACTCACCCTGTAGCTCAGGCTGCTGGGCTCTGAAGCTGGCACAAGGAGCTGCTCTGGCTCCTGCTCGCCAACACTGCTGCTTGGGTACGAAAGAGACTGGCTGGCTGACGACAGGAGGATCTGAGAGGGAGCGCGAATCTGTGAGCGGGACAGTGGGGTGAGCACAGCACCACATACAAAGATCGAAATTTTGGAAGGCAAGGGGATCTGAACGAGGGTGCTAATTTGTGGAAGGAACGATGAGGTGAGCACAGCACGGAATAGAGAGGCTGACGGTTTCTGACACGTCTCAAGAAAACTTGCTCGCAGAAGAAGTGGAGAACGTGAGAACGTTAGCACGACGGACAGCTGGCACCAGTGCTTTTCCAGGATTTGCAACGAGGATCCAGTTCAATGAAAAGGGTCTCACTGGAACGAGGTCGTATTTGATTCCTTGCCGCTGCAGCATCTGCAACGGATCTGGCGGTCCCCCATTAAAGTCCTCGTCCTCTCCTTCCTCGTCCATGTCCAAAACTCGAGAGTTCTCCCGCACTTTCGATCTCGGTGCGAGCTGCACGACCACCAGCGCTGCGACTGCTGCCCAGACGAGCAGCCATACGATGCGTGAGCCGGTCAGCGCCGGCAGCGGTACTGATTGACGCATCTGAAAAGGGAGGGAGGACGGGGAATATGAATAACGTGATCAGTGTTGCTACTACTGCGCGCATGAGAAGCCACATGTTGCGATAGCCTTGAGTGCTGGTAGTAGTGGGTGACGCATCAAAATGAGAAGCTGAAACTAGTCGAGACGGTATGAACAGGTACAGGAGCAGACGCAACAGGTGATTTAGATAGCAGACCGCTAGTGACACGTCTCTAGTGCACTGGATGTTGAATTTGGTGACTTGGCCGGTAGGCTGGCAGGTAAAGTGCGTCTTTAGTTGGTCTGCAGTGCACTGGATGCTGAGTTCGGCCAGTACGTCTGCAGAATATGTAATAAGCGCACAGAAGAAGTTTGAGCTCGGCCAGTTGGCCGATATGATCGGTGGTCAGTACATTGGATGTTGAATCCTGTGAGTCTTCCATGTTCGACAACGAGCAACAGTGATGCAGCGAGGAGTGAGAGAATTACTCTTGAGGGAATCATGTGCTTCCGCTGCTTCAACGCGCGAGAACGTGGCGACATGGACGACCCTTAGCTCGCGTTTCGAGGAAGCTTCATCTCGACGACGTGAAAGACAAGAACCATCAGGGTACGAATCCGTTTGCTCGAGATGGTCCCTTCGGTCGAGCCACTAGGTGGCCAGTTACAAACAAGAGCCCGTGCAGGCAGTACTGTCTTCTTCGCGGGCGAATCTCAACGGAGCGCATGCGCCGCTGTGCAACCTTCGATCAGAAAGTCAATGCTCTCTGATCATCTACTAGGCACGCCAGCTAAACATGAAAGCAAGTCTCGAACGATTCAGGAATCGGCCTGCGGGTAAAATCTTCAGGGAGCGAAACGCTGGTGGAATGTTGACACCCTGGCTGGTAACCGGTTCGTCAACACCCAACCTTTGTGTAACCAGTTTCGTGAACAAACCGATTCGTTGCACACACAATTCCCTCGCAAGGCCGAACCTTGGGAACTGGTGACTAAGGCCGCTCTGACCTGAAGTGATTGCAGAGAGTGACACCTGAAGATATATGACACAATCCGAGCTCGTTAAGGTCGGCAGAAAAATATACTCTAACCTACAATATAGTACACCGCAGAATGAGAACGGTAAATCATTATCATTTGACATTGGTCTTGCTTCCTCATTGTTGAAATTGCCGCCAGAAGATCCCCTCAGTCACTATCAGATGTGGCATTCCCAGGAACCTCGGATCAATTCTGCTTGCGCTTCCTGCAGTCGCTGTCAGTACCCGTGGGTCACGGCGGTCACAAGTCATACTTGACCAGATGCACCTAAATCCGTAGCAGACGCTATTTCGTTTGAAGCTACCGCCGAAAAGGAAGTGGCGTCGCAGTTCGGCCGATGATAAACTCGCTATCGATCGTACAACATTGCGCTGGATGCTTGACTTGAAAGCCTTAGTGGTATTTGACTTTAGGCAGCCATAGGTTTCATCCTCACGCGGCACCTCTGCGCTCCCATTGTCACTCTTGAGAGTACCAAGCGTCAGCCCTACGTGCGAGCATCTGCTTTACGGGCGAGTGTCAGCCATACTCCTGCCGCAACCGCTCGACTCTGATCGCTTCCAGTTCGCGATCAAGCATCCCTGCCGCCTTCTGCTGCTCTTTCGAGCTGGGCTGACGATGGGCTCCCGGACCAAATGGGATCCTTTCGTTGACGGCATTCTCGAGGTACGATTAGGTTTGAGCACTGAAGCTCGTTACGGTGTGGTAGAAGAGGAATGAGAGACCCGAACATCCGCGTGAGACGTCAAGGAACCGAAGCGTACCGCGCTGTAACGGTGTGAGAGCGCCAGCACCGGGCTGCAGCGCTGAACGACGTGTCTGGAGCTTATGTTGTATGTCACTCGTACGACGCCCTTAATGTGTATTCAACGTCACTCAAATGATCTCAAGGTGCCTTTGCGACGCGTGCGTGCGATCGGTGGATTGGCTTATCTCGTATTGCGAAGCGTCAGGAGGTAACGTAGCATGTGACTCCTACCACGCCCTTAATCGTGCATCCAACATATGATGGCTTGAGGTGCCTTGCAACGCGTGCGTGCGAGCAGTGATATGGCTTTCGAGAATAAAAAAGAGAAAAAAGCTCTACGAACAAAGTCGCCAACCTGTGATCCAGTTCGTGTGCGTGTGTGCGTACGTGCGTGCGTGTGTAAATGTGTGCATGTGTGCACGTGTGTGTGTCACATTCTCGGCGCCATCATCACCCGTGCAGACACGGGTCCGGAACTGGCTGGAGGCAGTGTTGAAAGAGAAGCTACCGCCAGATGCCGCCCTGGCAGATACCCTTGCAGACGGCATGATCCTGTGAGTGCCTTCCCATTGCTCTACGTTTGCCCTCCTGATCAAGTAATCTATTCACAATTTCCCGTTATTTCCAGTTAAGTATATTTCTACTGATCATTTTTTTTTTGTGGGTTTTTTTTTTCTTATCAAGTCACTCTCCCCTCCCCTTGGGCCTCCGCTGTGCCCTTCGCTTGGTCTCCTCTCTGCTCTGCATCATCAGGTCACGCCTGACTGACATCCTCTCGCCGTTTGCACCAAAGAGTGCCGGGATCAATCTACGACAGCAGCAGCAGCAACAGCAGCAGGGATGGGGCACAAAGATCAAGTGGGATGCCATGATCCTCACTGATAACTTCCTCACGGTACCTCCCCACCTGTCGCCTTTCGGGCTTTCGTTTCTTCTCACAGAAACCCACTTCAGCTTACCAGATTGTTCCCATTGTTTCTCAAGAAGTTACACCTGACCATGTCGATTTCTCCACCGTTCAATCTCACCACTCCATCTCATTACGCTGCACTACTCACTTGACTCACTTCACCCTCCTGCCACGAGCCCCTTATCCCCGCCCTCTATGTCACGCCATATGCATGAGGAGTATGGGCTGCGTTCCCTCCTCCTGTCCACATGGCCTCAGTCAATTCAAGTGCCCAACAGCATCTCAACCCCCACTATCACCTCCCCTGCCACGGCAGATGTGCAAGGCGTTTGGGCTGAGTGCCATCGACCTGTTCACATCCACAGACGTGGTGGAGAAGAAGGGCACCAAACGCGTCTGTGTCTGCATCCGCGCCCTAGCACTCAAGCTCAGAGCAGCTGGCATACTGGTGAGAGCGGCATACTGGTGAGAGCGGCATATTGGTGAGAGCAGCATAGTGGTGAGAGCAGCATAGTGGTGAGAGCTTCATGTTGTATAATCCATCTAGTTTTTCTCTTTCTTTATTCTTTTCCTCTTTCGTTCCTCCCAATTCTCAACGCATCTGCCTCTGCATCCGCACCCTCGCACTCAAGCTCAGAGCAGCAGGCATACAGGTGAGCTCTTCTTGTATACCCATTGTAGACTTTGAGCCAGCATCTGAGTGGACCCAAACCCTAATTTGAATTGTTCACTCCCCTACCCCCACCCTTCGTCAGCCCACAGGCTTTGAGCCGGCATTCAAGTCGAATATGAACCTTCGTACCACTACCCTCCACCAGGCCATGGACTTATGAGCTGGCATCTGAGGCGACCCAACCTTTAACCTCAAACTTCCCCCCCCCCCGCCACCCCTCACCAATCCAGGCGATAGACTTTGAGCCAGCGTCTGCAGCGGCAGCAGTTAGTGTGGCGAAGCGCATGCCAGCAGAGGGGGGCGTGGTGGACAGGGCTGTCAGGGAGTTCATGGGGCCCAACTACAGGCGCGGGTGGGGTAGGGAGGACGTGCCTGCCAGCCAATCAGGCTCAGAAAACAGCTTTGATATAAATGGCTGGGGCAGCGCTGCAGCTGGTGCTGCTAGTGATGGTGGCACTGGTGGTGTTAATGGTGGCAGTAGTGTCGGTGGTGGTGATGGCGATGGTGGTGGTGCTGCTGCTGGTAGCAAGGCAGGGGGCCAAGAAGCGAAGCAGATGGAGAATGGGAAGGGCAAGGGGAAAGTGTCAGGCTTTGTCAGCAAAGGCTTCAGCTCCACCTCTAACGAAGCGGAACCAAAACCAAAGAGCGGTGTGTCAGATGTTCCTCCCGTCTCAAGACTGGACCCTCACATGGTCTGGCCTCCCCCCTCCAACCGCCTGGCAGTCTCAGTGGAAGCAGCAGGCAGCTTCTATGCCAGCCTGGATGCTTCTCGTGATCCGTCTTCGGATGCGGTTACCACGTCGGCTGGAACAACCTCCTCTCTCACGGACGTTTCGGCAGGTGTCACAACTGTTTGCCATACGGAAGGGGAGGAGGATTTGGAATCTGATTATTCATCCTGCCCGTCTTCGCCCCGGGCAGCATCACATGCCCCGTGGAGAGCTATTGTTGGAGGGGCAATCGCTTTTGTGGCTGTGATGCTGCTGTTCCGACCATCCAGGTGAGAGTTTCTGTGCCTCCGGTTTTGCTTCTTATTTGATGCTGCACCGTTTCTTTTGCGGTTTGTGCATCATGTTATCATGTCGTACTAAGCTTGCTCCATCTGTTTTCTTTTGTGCTGTCGCAGGAAGAAATACCAAATAAGGAAAGGAGACACTCTCATAAACATTTCAAAGCAGGTCGGGAAGCGCAACTGGAAGGAGATTGCAGAACTCAACCCGGACATTTACAACCCTGACCTAATCTTTCCCAACGAATATGTGGTTGTAGACTAGGTTATAGTGCACAGTCCACGCACAGTGCGCATACGTTACGGTATGTATTAAGTAGAGAATCCCTTTTGCGATGTATTGGTAGCTGCTATTGGTATGTTAGTAGCTGTTTGATGGCTTATGGAGCATTTATGGTATGTGTTTTATCGAAGGACTCCGTAGTGAACGAAATATATACGTATAGCAACATGGTGCGTCTTTGTTTCGGATGTATTACCGGACCACTCAATGTTGCATATAATGTAAAAATTCCTTCACTCGATCAATTTCCTCACCCTCAGAATTCCGGATTGATTCTGGTTTGGAGCCATGGCACCTCCCGTTCTCCTCTCGCGAGTTCACGCTAGAAATTATGTTTCTCTCCCACGGCGTTTCGCGCTTCTCATTCTTGTCGCTCTTCTTGTCACTCTCGTCGCTCTCTGCCGTTCTAGCTTCAACTTCCCAAAGCTTTCATCCACGAGCAACGTTCATTCGCCTTTGAACGAATCGTTCAGGCTCGCTGACTCGTCTGCTGAGGCAGTCGTATTGCCAGCAACCCCGGAAAAGGATTCAGCCACGGCGCATGCGGAGCGTTGGGTTGATCATGCGATACTGACCGTCGATGGGGTTGCGCAAGGCCGTCCGATATCGCCTTCCTTTTACGGCATATTTCTCGAGGTAGTTGCTTCGTGGGGATTGCGTGTCCATTTTCCCGCATATTCCCCGGAATGCCTTTTCTAGTACCATATTCTGAGACGTCTCGGATCATGAATGGGGTTGCTTCTCTATCTCTCTGCGTTCTGCCGAGATTCGAGAGGACTTCCAATGTCAGTCCTGGGCGTGTGCATTTGTGTGTGCATGTGAGCGTGCATATGCTGTGTGTCGCACGCATGTGTGTGTCGCACGCATATGTGTGGCGCACGCGCGCGTGTGTGTGGCGCACGCATGTGTGTGTGGCGCATGCGTGTGTGTGTTTGTGCGCAGGAGATCAACCACGGGGGCGCGGGAGGGCTGTACGCGGAGCTGGTGCAGAACCGAGGCAAGTTGGAGGGGGGGGGAGAACGGGAGGCGGGGGGAGAAGCGGAAAAGGGGGGGGGGAGCAGGGGGGGAAGGGAAATGGGAAGGAGGTCAGTTGCGAAGAAGGGTAGGGGGAGGAGAATGGATGCAAGGAGGTCGTTTTCTCTCTTATACGCACCCATACATGCATACCCCCTTGTCTATTCCCCACAGCCACTCCCACACCTACCTCCTCCCATTCCCCCCCCGCACGCCCGTCCCTCTGACTGCAGCGACAAGAACCCCTCTCCACGGTGCACCCATGGCATGCCCCTCCACGGTGCACCCATGGCATCCCCCTACGTGAATCACCCATGGCATCCTACGTGAATCAGCTATGCTTTCTTTCTACATCTGTTTTCTCATTTGCTAAACATTCTCCCTTCAACTGCTGCTCGCTGGAATGTCTAACCATTCCCTCCACGGTGCACCCATGGCATGCCCCATCCGCTGACAGCCCCACGAGCTGCTGTGCTGCATGGAGCGCTGAGTGTCACCCCCCACGCCTGTGACGTGCCCTTTCTCCACTGCAGGATTCGAGGCGAGGGGCCAGGAAACCCCTTCCTTGCTGCACCCATGCCGCCTACCCTCCTTGCAGCACCCATGCCGCCCGCCCTCCTCGCTGCACCCATGCCGCCCGCCCTCCTTGCTGCACCCATGCCGCCCGCCCTCCTTGCTGCACCCATGCCGCCCGCCCTCCTTGCTGCACCCATGCCGCCCGCCCTCCTTGCTGCACCCATGCCGCCCGCCCTCCTTGCTGCACCCATGCCGCCCGCCCTCCTTGCTGCACCCATGCCGCCCACCCTCCTTGCTGCACCCATGCCGCCCACCCTCCTTGCTGCACCCATGCCGCCCGCCCTCCTTGCTGCACCCATGCCGCCCACCCTCCTTGCTGCACCCATGCCGCCCCACCTCCTTGCTGCACCCATGCCGCCTACCCTCCTTGCAGCACCCATGCCGCCCGCCCTCCTCGCTGCACCCATGCCGCCCGCCCTCCTTGCTGCACCCATGCCGCCCGCCCTCCTTGCTGCACCCATGCCGCCCGCCCTCCTTGCTGCACCCATGCCGCCCGCCCTCCTTGCTGCACCCATGCCGCCCGCCCTCCTTGCTGCACCCATGCCGCCCGCCCTCCTTGCTGCACCCATGCCGCCCGCCCTCCTCGCTGCACCCATGCCGCCCGCCCTCCTCGCTGCACCCATGCCGCCCGCCCTCCTTGCTGCACCCATGCCGCCCGCCCTCCTTGCTGCACCCATGCCGCCCGCCCTCCTTGCTGCACCCATGCCGCCCGCCCTCCTTGCTGCACCCATGCCGCCCACCCTCCTTGCTGCACCCATGCCGCCCACCCTCCTTGCTGCACCCATGCCGCCCGCCCTCCTTGCTGCACCCATGCCGCCCACCCTCCTTGCTGCACCCATGCCGCCCGCCCTCCTTGCTGCACCCATGCCGCCCACCCTCCTTGCTGCACCCATGCATACCTAGAGCCCCACGTGCTGCTGTGCGTTGCGCTCAGCGCTGCTCTCTCGTTCTCGCGCTCACCACAGGATTCGAGGCGGGCGGCCAGGAAACCCCCTCCGCGATCCACCCATGGCTGCCTATTGGGTCCGAACACCACCTGCTGCTCGGCACAGAGCGATGCTCGCCCTTCCCCCGCACAGCTCCCTTCCCTTTACCATGCCCGCCCGCCACAAACCCCTTCCCTTTACTCCCAAATCACTGCAGGGTTCGAAGCAGGCGGGCAGGAGACGCCCTCCACGGTGCAACCATGGCTGCCCATCGGGTCCAAGCCCCTCGTGCTGCTGGGCACGGAGCGCTGCTCGCCCTTCCCCTCACAGATATCATACCTTCCCGTCGCTCATGACTCACTGCAGGGTTCGAAGCAGGCGGGCAGGAAACCCCCTCCACACTGCAACCATGGCTGCCTATTGGGTCCGAGCCCCATGTGCTGCTGCGCACGGAACGAAGTTCGCCCTTTCCCCGCAACCCCATCGCCCTGCGCATCGACATCCACTGCTCTGATGTGCCACCGCAGCAAGAAAGCGAGCAGAGAGTGGGCGATCAGCACTTGAGGCTACCCTCGCAACGAGAGAAGAGGTGGCATGAGCAGGCTGTCCGCCGGCTCTCTGCCCGAGGGGAGGGATTGCACAGGCGTGTGGTGGAATCCCCTCATTTTCCTGGGGATGCCACTGGGGTGGGCGCGTGGGCGGCTGTGAGGCAGTGGCTTGGCGGGTTGCTGGGGCTGAGCCTGGGAGACGCAGATTCGCTGGGAGAACCGACAGGGCGTGGCGTTGGTGGTGGTGGCAACGGGAGGGAGGGACACGGAGAGGAGCGGAAGGAAGGCAAGGAGGGAGGGGTGGGAGAGGATGCAGGCAAGGGAGAGGAGGGGCGGGTGTGTGAGGATGGTGTGGGGGTGCTCAATCCCGGCTACTGGGGCATGGTGAGGGCTCATCATGTCCCATCCTCCCATCATGCCCCACCATGCCATCATGCCCCATCCTCCCAGCATCTGACCATTCCACATGCAATGTACCAATCAGAATGCTCTTCCACATGCAATGGACCAATCAGAATGCTCTTCCACATGCAAGGCCGTGCTTACAGCACTATTCGACGCAGCCCTATCACTCTGATCACTTCGCATAGGTTTTAATACGACACCCTTCTACTACTCTACCCACCCCTATCCCATGTCCCGTTTCTATCCCATGCCCCATCATCCCATGCCCCACCATCCCATGCCCCATCATCCCACCATCCCACCCCCCCATCAGAGCATAGTGCAAGGCGATGCATGCAACATCATCCTGCACGCTCACTTCTCCCATACCTTCACCCCGCTTGGCCCCATTCCCATCCCATCATTCCACCCCCCCATCAGAGCATAGAGCAAAGCCATACATACAACATCATCCTACACGCACGTGCCACGGCCCCGCTCTCCCTCCGCCTCTCCTTCCTCTGCTCGCCCGCTCTCCCTCCCTCTCGCCGCCTCTCTTCGGTCCCCTCTGTCGGCTCAGCTCATATCAGGTGAGCTGTTATCTGGTCCCGTCCCCATGAGTCCTCATGCTCGCCACAATGCATAATGCTGTGAGCACGCCCTTGCATGCACACACCATGGAATGGAATGGTGCATTCACACCAATGCAAGCAACCCCACGCCATGCCACACCATGCCCTCACCTTACCACATTGAAACCCCCTTCTTTTCACTACCCCACATTCCTTCCTTCCCCATGCGTGCCCAATACTCTTGTCTGGTGATACACAACTGCCCGTTATTAATCCCCTCCTTCTCTGATGCTGCCAGCCTCAACCAATCCATGGCTGCCACGTGGCACCGCTATGAGGCCACTGTTGCTGCGACTGGCACATGCCACAACGCCTCGCTGGCTATCACCACTGGCAGCATGACACGTGGCACTCTGTGGTTGGACCAGATCTCAGCCATGCCTGCTGAGACATTCAAGGTGAGTCGGATGCTTCTAGAAGGTTGACGTCGCATGGGGCATGGGGCATGGGGTGGCCCATATACACCCATGCACCCATGCACTCATACAACCATACACCACCCATACACCCATACACCCATACACCCATGCACCCATGCACTCATACAACCATACACCACCCATACACCCATACACCCATGCACCCATGCACTCATACAACCATACACCTCCCATACACCCATACACCCATACACCCATACACCCATGCACCCATGCACTCATACAACCACACACCACCCGTACACCCATACACCCATACACCCATACACCCATGCACCCATACACCCATGCACCCATGCACTCATACGACCATACACCACCCGTACACCCATACACTCATACACCCATGCACTCATGCACCCATACACCCATGCACCCATGCACTCATACGACCATACACCACCCGTACATCCATACACTCATACACCCACGCACCCATGCACGCATGCACCTATACACCCATGCACCCATACACCCATGCACCCATACACCCATGCACCCTTGCACTCATACAACCATACACCACCCGTACACCCATACACCCATACACCCACGCACCCATGCACGCATGCACCCATACACCCATGCACCCATACACCCATGCACCCATACACCCATGCACCCATACACCCATGCACTCATACAACCATACATCCAGACACCCATACACCCGTGTTCCACCCACAGGCTCACAGCATGCAAGGGGACGTAGCAGGCATGCTAGAGGCTCTCTGCCCCGGCCTCATGCGCTTCCCAGGGGGCTGCTACGTGGAGGGAGTGCGGCTGCTTTGAAAGCTGCTACATGGGTGTATGGGAGTACCCAATGCCCTGCACCCCCACTCCCATACAACCATGTTCCACCCATCCAGTCTCACGGCATGCGCATGGATATAGCCACCATGCTCCAGGGCCTCTCCCCCGGATTCATGCGCTTCCCTGGGGGCTGCTACGTGGAGGGCGTGCGGCTGGCCAATGCCTTCCGGTGGCGCTCCACCATCGGCCCTTGGGAACTCCGCCCGGGCCACTTCAACGACCGGTGGGTCTCATTTCTAGTCACTGGCTGCTCACCCACCTCTGGCCGCTCAGAAGGGTTATGCCCATCTCCTGTTCTCGCCCTTCCGGTCTGCCCTTGATCCCCATCCCGCCACCCGTCAATCAACACACTTACCCCCAAGTGCACCGCACACTTACCAGGTTGGGGTATTGGTCGGACGACAGGTTGGGGTTCTTTGATTATTTGCAGTTCACAAAGCATCAGCTAGGTGCCTAATTTCCAAGTTCCAACACATGCCAGCCACTCTTCGCCCCATGCGCACCCCTCATTCCTCCCCAACTCATGCGCACCTACCAGGTGGGGGTATTGGTCGGACGACGGGTTGGGGTTCTTTGAGTATCTACAGTTTGCAGAAGACCTTGGCGCCACTCCCATCTGGGTGTTCAACAGCGGTGAGCCTGGGTGGGTGGGTGTTTTAGAGCGGCGAGCCTGGGTGGGTGGGTGTTCAATAGCGGTAAGACTGGGTGTTCAACAGTGGTAAGCTGAAGCAGATTCGGATCAAAGTGTTGAGGACCTTGTTGCATCGCCCATATGTGTCGTGTGGTCAATGTTATATTAGTGAGCTGACACATGTCGGGCACGAGCAGAGAGACGGCCTACCTGCCCAGTGTTGTGGGCAGATGTAACACCACTTTATGAGAAATTTCTCTCCACTGCTTGATGCAACAGCATACATCAGTGCTTTCCCACGTGCCCTGCCATTTTGTCCCTTCCTCTCCCATCCCATACACCCCCATGCACTGAGGGATTGCGCCTTGTCTCAATGCATCCTTTTTCCCTTCTTCTCACTGGGTTTGTCGTGCAGGCAACAGCCACACGGGCAGCGTGTTCACAGGCGCCCTCGCTCCCTTAATTCAGGTCACCCCATTCGCATCTCCCTCCTTCTCACCTCTCCCTCTTCCATGCACTCCCATGCACCCATGCGCTGCCATGCAGGCAACAGCCACACTGACAGCGTGTTCACAGGTGCCCTCGCTCCCTTCATTCAGGTCACCCCATTCGCATCTCCCTCCTTCTCACCTCTCCCTCTTCCATGCACTCCCATGCACCCGTGCGCTGCCGTGCAGGCAACAGCCACACTGACAGCGTGTTCACAGGCGCCCTCGCTCCTTTCATTCAGGTCAGCTGCCCTCCCCCCTTCGCACCTCTCTTCTTCCCACCTTGGGCATGGAAGGTCGAGCAAAACCCATGAAATTTCTGAGGTAGTTCCTGCTTTGAGAATCACGTTGGATCAATCTTAAGCGCACATGCACTCCTAAGCTAGGGGCCTATGTCCCTCTTTCGTGCTCACCCACTCCTCAACCCCCATCCTCTGTGTTCCTCTCTGCCACGTGGCGCCACAGGAGGTTCTTGACGGAATCGAGTTCGCACGAGGACCGTCGGATTCGCGGTGGGGAGTGGAGAGGGCGGCCATGGGCCATCCTGAACCGTTTGATCTGCGCCACGTGGGCATCGGGAATGAGAACTGCTACCAGGACAACTACCGAGGTGAGGGCATGTGGATCATTAGGGGAAGCATGGCATTGTCTGATGTGAGCGAATGGGCACGTGGGCACATGGGCTTGTGGGCACATGGGCTTGTGGGCATGTGGGCATGTGGGCATGTGGGCATGTGGGCATGTGAGCATCGGGATGAGAACTGCTACCAGGACAACTACCGAGGTGAGGGCATGTGTGTTACGAGGGGAAGCAAGTGTGTTGTTTGATGTGAGTGAATGGGCATGTGGGCGCGTGGGCATTGGGAATGAGAATTGCTACCGGGACAACTACCGAAGTAGAGCAGTGGTGGAGGCCTAGCGTTGCTGTGCCGCAAGCCGATGCTGTTTGAAAGAATATATCTGTTCATCTGTGCATGTATGTCTTGCCCTTTCTCATCCTGCACCCACCACACCTGCTCGCCTTGCCCTCGCCACCTTCCAGGCAACTTCCTTCGTTTCCGGGCGGCAATCAAGGCGGCATATCCCGACATGGCGGTGGTGTACACATGTGACGTCAGCAAGGGGCCTCTTGACCACCCTCCCACCGACCTCTACGATTTCCACGTACGTCGAGTGGCTGCCTTGGCATGGCACTCCAGCCTGCGGTTCTGTGCGGTGCTGCGCAATGCTGAGCTTTTCTGTGTTCTTCTGTGTGGTGTTGTGCGGTGCAGTGCAATGCAGCGCAGTGTGATGCAGTGCTGCTCGTGGTTGCCACATGGCTGCATGTGCTGGACCTCTTAGACGTCTCAACACGTGACGTTTCGAAGGCATTCCCGCCTGGTGCACTCGCCATGCATAAAGTTCAATTACTTGTGATCCTTCTCATACACATGTATGTCCATCTGTGTGCATCTTTGTCTCTCGTTCCCATTTCTTCCCACACGTATCTCTGTATGCCTGCTTCCCCCCCTGCATGATCACCTCTCGCTCGCAGTCCTACAGCACAGCAGAGGGGATCTTCAGCTTGGGTCATTACTTTGATTCCCTCTGCCTGATGATTGTCTCTCGTCGCACGTCCTTCCCTTCCATGCATGTGTGCATGTGACTGTCTGCCCCGCTCGCAGTCCTATGGTACAGCAGAGGGGATCTTCAGCTTGGGTCATTACTTTGATGACATCAGCAGGGATGGACCCAAGGTGACGTGGCGTGCAGGGATGGTACGCTTCTCAGCTATTCTGTGCCATGAATGGTTCGAATTCCTTCACTCTCCCCCTATGCCATTTCCCCTCACCCCCTCGCCCCTCTCCTTTTTCCCCTCACCCCTCGCCGCTCTCCCTTCTCCCGTCACCCCCAACCCCCCACCTGAATTGACTTTTGAGTCGACTCAAAAGTTCTCCCGTCACCCCCAACCCCCCACCTGAATTGACTTTTGAGTCGACTCAAAAGTTCTCCCGTCACCCCCAACCCCCCACCTCTCACCCTCCCACACCTCACCTCGTCGTCCAGCAGGCCTTTCTGAGCGAGTTCGCAGTGCAAGGGGGGGGAGGGGATGGCAACGTGCGGGCAGCAGTGGCAGAAGCGGGGTTCCTCATTGGGCTGGAGAGGAACAGGTGAGCGTCCCCTGTGGTTCACAAGAAGCCATGGCACTTGAATGCTGCTTATTCAAATGGCATGTGCGGGCAGCAGTGGCAGAAGCAGGCTTTCTCATCGGGCTGGAGAGGAACAGGTGAGCCTCTCTTGCTGCTCCCTCCGGCTGCCCTCTCGTGCTGCCTTCTCTTGAAAGGCGAAATCAAAGTTTTCTTCGAGACTCCTCCAATCGTTTCCCCCTGCTGGGCACCAATCGTGCAGGTCTTGACTTAAACTCTTTTTTTTTCTTCTTTTTTTTTTCTCACGTGCATGACGTGACTTTACCTCTCATGTGATGCTTGCTCCCTACTCCCCACTCTCCCTCATTTACGCTGATGTGATGGTAATTTCAACGTGCATGGGTTGACTTGACTTGACTTTGTTCCACTTTACTTGATTTGACTACTGCACACATCCTCTCACGTCCTATTCGGCCGATCCCTCATCCCCACTTCTCCCTTTTTGCAGTGACGTGGTGGCAATGGTCAGCTATGCGCCCTTGCTCGTCAACGTGCATGACAGGAGGTGAGAGAATCGGAATATCATTACCCAATCCCTCCAACTCTCCCTTCCCCGTGTTCCCCAGCTGGACGCCTGACCTCATAGCCTTTGACTCGCACCGCCTCTACGGCACGCCCACTTACTGGCTGCACCGCATGTTGCCCGCGTCGAATTAGCCCCCAACCCCCCCAACTCTCCCTTCCCCGTGTTCCCCAGCTGGACGCCTGACCTCATAGCCTTTGACTCACACCGCCTCTACGGCACGCCCACTTACTGGCTGCACCGCATGTTGCCCGCGTCGAATTAGCCCCCAACCCCCCCAACTCTCCCTTCCCTGTTTTCCCCCAGCTGGACGCCTGACCTCATAGCCTTTGACTCACACCGCCTCTACGGCACGCCCACTTACTGGCTGCACCGCATGTTCCAACGCTCCAAAGGAGGCTCGCTGCTGCCCTCCCGCCTCTCCCTCTCCTCCTCTTCTTACTGCTCCCCCTCCCCCTCCTCCTCCTCCTCCTCCTCCTCCTCCTCCTCCTCCTCCTCCTCCTCCTCCTCCTCCTCCTCCTCCTCCTCCTCCTCCTCCTCCTCCTCCCCCTCCCCCTCCTCCTCCGCCTCCTTCCCAGTTTCAAATGCCCTTCTCTTGAATCGGACCTCTACCAGTCACGATGCACCTTCCTCAGATGTCACCTCCACCCCCCGATGTGCTGAGGGTGGTGCTGCTGATGTGCAAGCTGCAAGGCGGTTTGAAGCCTCGGCTGTTCGAATCACAAGAGATGGCAATTCAGCGGCGGCAGCTATTCTCGTGAAGGTCTGACTCTCCCCGTCCATCCCTTTCTCTCCCCGTCCATCCCTTTCTCTCCCCGTCCATCCCTTTCTCTCCCCGTCCATCCCTTTCTCTCCCCGTCCATCCCTTTCTCTCCCCGTCCATCCCTTTCTCTCCCCGTCCATCCCTTTCTCACCCCGTCCATCCCTTTCTCACCCCGTCCATCCCTTTCTCTCCCCGTCCATCCCTTTCTCTCCCCGTCCATCCCTTTCTCTCCCCGTCCATCCCTTTCTCTCCCCGTCCATCCCTTTCTCTCCCCGTCCATCCCTTTCTCTCCCCGTCCATCCCTTTCTCTCCCCGTCCATCCCTTTCTCTCCCCGTCCATCCCTTTCTCTCCCCGTCCATCCCTTTCTCTCTTTCCTAAGAGCTTCTCTTGCTGCTGGCAACAGCTGAACACCTCGCGATGCATGCTCCACGTGCACCACCCACACCAGGCAGCCAACTTCCACCCATCTGCACTGACCCTCTTGAGTGGGCCTGCAGGGAGCAGCTGTTGGGGGCGCAGTGCTGCTCACTCGCCACTGCAGCCCTCCACATGTCCCCGCCATGCCGCCTCCACTTTTCAGGCTTCTCAAAACACGCATTTCGTTTCAATTCAGCTCCACATGCCCCATCCAACGCACCCTAAACCCCATTTACCCACCCCAGGCTGGCAACTTCCAGCCATCCGCAGTGACCCTACATGTAGACCTGCAGGGCACAGCAGCCTCAGGCCCAGTGCTGCTCACTCGTCTCTCCAGCCCCTCGGGGAACCCCGACGATGAAAACTCACTAGAGGATCCGGTTAAGGTTAGTGCCACTTCCTAATGAGAGCAGTTTTGGGAAATTTCAAAGATACCCTGCAACCCTGACGATGAAACGAGGTGACTTTTGAGTCGACTCAAAAGTCACATTGTTGGAAATTCTCAAAGATACCCTGCAACCCTGACGATGAAAAAACACGTGAGGGCCCTGTAAAGGTCAGTGCTACATCTCCCGAATGTCATTCCTGGCTTGCCTCATATGAGCTGAGATTTAAGTAGACTCTAAGGTCAGTGGTATATCTTGTTAAAGTCATGCCTGGCTTGCCTCATATGCTACGTGTTGTGAAGGTAGTTTCTGGCTTGCCTCGTACAGTATGTCGTATTGCAACGGGCAGTTTCACTATCGCGGTATTTGTTTGCAAGTGCCTTGCTAATTGGCCTGTGACAAATAAATCCTTCGGTAACATTGTCAACATCTGTGGTGCGATGTTGGTCTCGTTGTAGCACCATAACACCATAAGACCATACAGGTGCATATCCTGTAGCTGCAATTTCCATGAGGGAGTGCCGTCTTTATTGACCCAAACAGCTAGAATGTTTGATGCTAGAAGGCTGATAGCACCCGATAATTCCTGGCTCTGCATGGTCCTGCACCTGTTGCACGGTATTGCTACCCACTTCTGGCAATGATTCACTTCAGGTACTGTTAAAAAATTGCCTCCACATCCCCTCCCTTCCTCCACCCAGGTTTCTCCCATTGTGGATGTGCAAAATGCTACCACACTGAAATTCCTGATACCGTCGATGTCAGCATTTACGGTTGAGCTCCCTATTGTGAACCTCTAGTTTAAAGCCGGCGGCCCAAATTGTTCATGCTTTTAAAAGTTGACCAGAGGGAGTTTTTCTGGTGTGGGCCTTGGCGATAGTTCACAATTTCGTCTAGGTTCGTTTTTTTCGCGAGACCCAGCCAACCCTCGGTTTTCCCCCTGGTGAGTGGATCTGTCTTCCTAAGTCCCAAATTGCAGGTGCGTGACTTTCAAAGCTTGGACACTCAACTTCGTCAAGTTTTAAAAACTTGACCCTCGCGGTCCGCAATTTAGGACGCGGGCTTGAACCTTATGCTGTAGTTCTTCAGTTTGTAAATCTGCTTGGCTTGCAGTTCTTGAGGATAGAAATTGCAAACACATACAGAGAATGGCACATGTATACACTCTGATATGTCGTTTTTTAACAGACGGTATGGTCTTCACTGTACTCTACTAGCACAGGGTGAGAATGTTGTGATGTGAGTGAGTTCCTAGCGGAGGACAGCGTAAGCTAAAGTTCACATTCGGCAGAGCGTATTCTACTGTAGAGCATGTACATTTTCAGTCTTGGTGACCAATCAGAAGGCAAACTGTACAGCTCGCTTCCTAAACCCAAACCAGACCGAGTCAAACTTCTCGAAGCTGGCGCATTTCGTACCTAAGATATGCTTGGCTGAGATTGCCGAATCACAACGCACCAAGTTTTTGCCAGCTATCACGCGCACATCTGGTGGATAGCCTGGCGTGGATTTACTAACAAGGACGAGCTTGCTGACATGCCAGAAAAACAAGGGCCATGGAATCTACACAGTCCTGGGGGAGTGTACAAGTGTTTCGGGTTAGAGGCCTTCGCAGAGAGAGTTCCTTTTTCCCCCATGAGTAGAATTTTCCCATATCGCCTAGGATTTGCCCGACCCCTATAGTCCCTTTTTTGGCGGGACCAAATCATTGCACGAATGAGCTTCGCAGCCAATCAGAGGCTCCAGATCAAACCAGCCCAACATTCAAGGAAAACGATGATGAATGGGATAATTGATTCGGTATTTTAACTTTTAAATTCTAAGTAATTGTTTCCCTTGACCGCGACTACTTCTCAATCCCGTCGCTGTCTCCAGCGCGATCGACGATGACATCTCATTTCTCTCGCTTACAGTGTAAAAATAAAGTTTTTGGGTTACTATTCGACCCCCAAACCATAGTCGAATTTATTTTTCTTCCATTTAGTCATGCGACATTGATCAGCGTGGAAAACCGTGCTACTGCAAGTTGAAGAGTGCGGTCCAAATCTACGTAATGCCAAAATCCAAAAACTAATAGCAAAACAACCATAAGCATCAATCTCACGATCGGTTTTCAATGCAAAGGCGATCGAGCTGGCTTTCACCCCGGTTTGCCTTGCTCGCGCATCCACCCGTGGACCCTTCCCGTTTCTGCCTACAACTACCGATTATGGTTCCATCCCCAACTATGACAGCCTCGAGACCGCCATGGCTGATCCCGAGACTTTCACACGTGTCAATGTGTGAAAGTAGGAAAACAGGAATGAATGAACTATGAATGAAAGCAGTACAAATATGAAACCCTAACTGGGTTGTACCCCCTATGGGATACCCCACTACAACCTACACAGCAGTATAAGCTATAGATATGTTCTGACACACCCCCATAGGCAAAGTGGGGGAGAACAAGGGGTCACAAGACCAGTCAAGCAAGACAAAGCAAAGCTCAGGGTGGATCACAAAGTCACCACACAGTCCGAGCACAAGAGTGAGGCCAAAGGCCAGTTCACAAGCAAGAGTACAGACATATATATAAAGCTAGACAAGCAAGAGCAGGTATATATATATATGTCACAGTACAAGTGAAGTCAAGAGGAGAGCAAGTGAGGCAAGACAGGCACAAGACCCAGCTGGGTGCAGAAGCGCTGATGGTCACAAGGCGCAAGTGCCTTGGTGAACACATCAGCAGTGTTGGCCTCAGAGGCCACGTACGCAAGTCGCAACTGACCACGCTGCTGCAGCTCACGAGCAAGGAAGTAGCGGAGAGCAATGTGCTTCGTTCTGTGCTCCAAGCGCTGCTCTCGACACAAGGCCAGCATAGCCTTGTTGTCTACGTACAGCACTGGAGGAGAACGAGGCGGCTCTCCAAGGTCAGTCAGCAGGTAGGTGAGCCAGCGAAGCTCCTGTGCAGCCATGGCCCCGGCGTAGATCTCAGCCTCACAACTGGAGCCGAGAACCGAAGACGAGCGAGTAGACCGCCACGAGACAGAGCCGGAACCAAGGCTGAAGGTGTAACCCTGTGACGACCGCTGCGTAGCCTGGTCGTCAGCCCAAGACGCGTCCGCGTGGCCGGTAAGGACCACTGGACTCCGCCCTCCAAGCACTAGCCCCATGCCTGACGTACTGCACAGGTAGCGCAATACCCTCTTCGCTGCAGCCATGTGCTCCGGTCTGTGTCTCCCAGGAGCAACATAGCGTGCAAGAATGCTCAGAGGGTATGCAAGGTCAGGTCGTGTGCAGGTCATCAGGTACATGAGGCAGCCAACAAGCTCCGCATACGGACCACTCGACTCTACGGACTCATCCGAAGGCAGAGCTGAGAGTGAGTGGCGAGTAGGCAGAGGAGTGGCCTGAGGCGAGGAGTACGTGAAGCCGAAGCGCTGAAGGACCTGCTGCACCATGTGTGACTGAGTCAAGGTAATGGTGCGGCGTGCTCTGTCCCGAGTGATCTGCAAGCCAAGGTAGCTGCGCAGTTCACCCAGGTCTGTGCACGTGTGTCTCTTCAACAGCTCGGACTTCACGTAGGCGAGTCCAGCAGTGTCCGCTGTGGCAAAGACCAGGTCGTCGACGTACACGAGGATGTAGAACGGCGGCAGGGAAGTGTCGGTGCGAAGAAACAGCGACGGGTCAGCAGTAGAAGGAGCAAACCCAAGAGCCGCAAGCGTAGTCCTCAGTGTGTCGTGCCACTCACGCGGTGCCTGGCGGAGACCGTAGACTGGCCGTCGGAGGCTCCACTGGGTGCCAGGAGGGAAAGTCCCAGTGAAGCCAGGTGGACGGCGAAGCCAGATCTCCTCGTGCAGGCTACCCTGCAAGAACGCAGTGCTGAAGTCGAGAGAGTGAAGCTCGTAGTCGCGCTGAGCGGCTATGTGCAGCAGCACCCGAAGAGTAGTCATCTTCGGGGTGGGAGAGAAGGTCTGAAAGTAGTCAACTCCCTGCCGCTGACTGAAGCCACGAGCAACGTACCGTGCCTTGAAGACAGGTGGAGAGCCCGGCGGCCGCTTCACCCTGAAGATCCACATGCCACTGACGATGTTCGCCCCAGGAGGGGGAACCGCGTCAACGTAGGTGCCTGTGGACTTCCAGGAAGCCATCTCTGCATCCATAGCTGCCTGCCACTGAGAGGAGTAGGGACCCTCTACGGCCTCCGCGTAAGAACGCGGAGTCGGGATGTCTAGTGCATCCGGGTCTCCCTCAGGGGCAAGCAGTACAGACGCGAGATGAGGTGAAGCAGCCGCTAGACACTGTAACTCCTCCTGCCTGTCCTCTAGGACGTCCGTGCCAAGAGCACACTCACCCCCGACGGACGGAGGACAGACAGACGCAGACTCAGCAACAAGACTAGCAGCGTAGTCGAGACGACAGCGAGCAGCAAAGTCGACGAGCTCAGCGACTAGAGCAGACGCAGCAGTGGACTCAAAAGAGGGGTCAGTGACGACAGTAGCAAGCAGACGCGTGACAGTGGGACTGGCAGCACGAAGAGAGTCCGACTCAGGGTCCGCAAGCGCAGGAAGAGAGGACTCAGGAGGAGAAGGCAAAGGGGCACGCAGAGGAGCAGTGGACGGACGTAAAGACATCCGGTGCGTGCCAGGGACAGGAGGAGGACGCTGACGCGAACTGCGACCACTAGCGCGAGCAGCACGAACAGGCGACGCGGGACGAGACGCAGGCTCACGACGCTCAGCAAGACCTCCAGTAGGACCAGTGTAAGGAGAGGGAGCAGGCAGCGGAGAGGAAGGCTCCAGTAGGGGCTGCGACTGGACAGGCGGTGGACCCTGTACTGGAGGAGAAAGACCAAGAACCTGCTGAAGGAGCGGAACGAAGTACGGCCGAGGCCGCGCGGCAGCTCCAGACTCAGCAGGGACAGCACCAGCACCCTCAGCGACAGCACCAGCGCCACCCACACCTCCAGCGGCAGGACCAACAGCAGCAGGCTCAGCACGAACGCCCTCAGCAGCTCCAGCTCCAGGAGGACCCGCAGGGCCAGCAGCTCCGGGAACGGCTGCACCCGCACCCTCGACGGTCGAAGAAGCTCCAGCTCCAGCTCCAGCAGCACCTCCAGACTCAGCAGCACGCCTCCAGCGGCGAGCGAACCACTCGCGCAGCTCCTGTGGAGAGAGGGGCTCCCGGCGAGACGCAGCAACAGGAGAAACCCCAGGCTCAGCAGCTCCAGACGCAGCACCCCCAGGCTCAGCAGCTCCCGACCCAGCACCCCCAGACCCAGCACCTCCAGGCACAGCACCCCCCGGCTCAGCACCCCAAGGCTCCGCACCCTCCGCAGTAGCACCCTCAGGCTCAGCACCCCCGCGCACAGCACCCCCAGAGTCAGCACCCCCAGGCTCAGCACCCGCGTCACCAGTAACCTCGACCGGGTCAACGGCGTCTACCTGGGACACACCTGAGGGGGCAGGAACCTGAGGGGGGAGGGGGTCTACCGGGGGGGGAACCGGCACAAGGAAGTCCGGGGGAGGGGGGAGGGAAGGAGTGCGGTAGGGGAAGAGACGGTAGAAGGGGACTGACTCGTCGAACGTGACGTCCTGGGAGGACAGAACACGACGAGAGGAGGGGTGGTAAAACTGCCACCCTGGGGCGTCAGTGGGGAAGCCAAGGAAGACACAGGGAGCAGCACGAGGGGACAGCTTGTCCGCAGACAAGTCGCGGACAAACGCCCGAGATCCCCAGACACGGAACACAGACGCATCGCCAACCTTCCCCGTCCACAGCAAGGCTGGGGACATCGCTGGCCGAGAGACCCGGGGGTGAAGGTTGAGCTGATGCGCCGCGTACCTCACCGCAAACGGCCACAGAAAATGGGGGGCAGCCGCATGCATCATGGACGTACGAGCGACATCCATGACCATGCCAATGCGGCGCTCAGCAATCCCATTTTGCTGTGGTGAGTCCGGAAGCGTGAAGGTCTGGCGGATCCCCCGTGCACGACAGTAGTCTCGCAGAAGGCGAGAAGAGAACTCTCCGCCTCTGTCAGAGTGCAGACGCAGAACAGGAAAGTCCGAGCCGAAGCTCTTCCTGAGCTGGAGACGAGCCTCGCGGATCCAGTCGATCAGCACCTCAGTGACTGCACCCTTGCTGCGCAAGGGGAGGACTGTGGTGTAACGCGAGTAGTCGTCAACCACCAACAGGAAGTAGCGCTCGTACCCCTGCCCACGGACGGGGGCTGGGCCCCACACATCCATGTGAAGCGTCTGCAGGGGAGACTCTGTCGGGGGGAAGTGGGAGGAGTGAGGAGTAGCCCGGAGGCGACCCTCGACACAGGGGACACAGGAAGGTCCTGGCCCGGAGGGGAGAGGAGGGAGAGACTGGGGAAGACCAGAGACAAGGACACGGGAAGCCATGCTCCGAAGACGGGGCAAGGAGGGGTGGCCAAGACGGTGGTGCCACAGGAGAGTCTCGTGAGACAGGAGGCGACAAGAACAGGGGGCAGACTCAGGACCTGACCGGGACGCAGCAGCAAGTACCTGACTCGACGCAGCCACCTGACCAGACGCAGGGACAGGAGGAGACTCAACGGTCAGGGTGTAGAGACTCGACCCCGGCCGACGTGAGAACGTGGCCAGGTGTCGGCCTGTGCGAGCCTCCGTGCAGTGGGTCACCCTCTGACGCGCAGGAGTGAACTGGTGAACACCCCCATCCTGCAGGTCCGCTCCACTCACCAAGTTCGTAGAGAACGAGGGAAGGTACAGACCCGACAGGGTGCCCGAAGGGGCAGCCGGACACGGGAGGACAGTGGAGAAGTGAGACAGGACAGGACCCCCAGAGGGGTCAGCAAGGGAGACCGCAACCGGCCTGGCGAGCGGCGAAAGGGTAGTGCGGTCTCGAAAGAAGGAGCGCGAAGCTCCGGAGTCAAGTGTGAAAGTGAGGGAGGACGAGGACGACTCAGTACCTGAGAGCGCAGTCTCACCAGTACCTGAGAGCGCAGACGCACTGGCACCTAGAGCAGCAGCCTCACAAGCACCTAGTGCAGCAGTACCAATGCCCGGGTCGGGCTGAAAACACCGGTAACCCTCATTCTCCTCACTATAATCCACAACATACATAGCAGTAAGGATAGCATCAAAATCAAGATCAAAGATCGCTACACCAGCCCTGAGAAGCTCATCCCAGCGAGGGATCTCACTAGCCCCAGGGAACTGCTGACGCCAAGCGTCCGTCAGGCGGCCAAAGCAGCGCTGGGTGGCGTGGGCACCCCCACACTGCTCACCCGCGCGGTCGCCGGAACGAAGAACGTAGGTGCAGGGACCAGTACCCCCACCCCTCTGACGCCCAGCGTACCACTCACGAAGCTGCTGAGGCGAAGGGATGTCCCGCGAGCGCTGCTGCTGCTGCCGGTGCGAGCGCTGGCCACCACCACCGCCGCGACGCTGCTGGGTACCACCCCGACCAGCTCCACCTCCTCCACCACTACTGCCTCCTCCGCTGCCGCCTCCACTGCCTCCACCTCCGCCGCCTCCACCTCCGCCGCTGCCTCCACCACCACCGCTGGCACCACCACCACCGTCTCCGCCGCCGCTGCCGCCACCACCACCACCACCCCCGCCACTAGCCCCGCCGCCACCCCCACTCCCTCCGCCGCCACCGCCGCCACCGCCACCGCCCCCTCCAGCTCCACCCGCGCCCTTGCCCCCCTTGCCCTTGCTGGAGCGACGTCTCCCACTAGGGGCAGACGCCGCGCCGACCGACTCAAGACCAAGCAGGTCGGCAGCAGCAGCAGAGGCAACAGAGGGCAGCAAGGGGGAAGGAGAGCACCCCTCAAAGATGGGGGTGCGAGGGTCACCACGAGAAGCACCTACAGCGACTATGCTCTTCTCCGCTGCAAGGAGGGCCTTCTCGAGGAGGTCGACGGTGAGAGTGGTGGGACAGACTGCGAGAAAGTGGTCCCTGACGACGCGAAGGGAGTCAGGGAGGCGTGCGACTACGTAGTAGAGAGCGATGTACATGGGGGGGGGGTTCTTAGCGCAGAACTCAGCAGGAAGGGCGGCGCGGTAGCGAGTGTCACTAGTGCGGAGGTGCGTAATGAGGTCAGCGACAGTGGGAAAGGCAGAGAGGTCAGGAAAGAGGTAGGGAAGCATGAGACGGCTCAGTGCAGCAGTGGCAGGGGAGGAGTAGCGCGCAACTACAGCGTCGTACAAGGTCTGAGCACTCTTGTACTGACTAAAGTGCGCACGCTCAGGGGTAGGGAGGTGGCGACGCACAGCAAGACGTGCAGCAGCATCGCGGGTGGCCCACTTAGAGCGGACAGCGGGATCAGCATCAGCAGCAGGGGCAGGAGAGGCGCCAGAGGTGAGGTCAAAGAGAGAAAGGTCGTCAGCCCTGTCGCACTGTAAGAACAGCTGCAGGTCGTCTAACCAGACCTCAAAATCAATGGCGCGACCCTCAGCGTCAAAAGCTAGGACACTAGGGGTAGCCATGGTGACGACAGTGACGCAGTGCAAGCAGTAGGGAAAGAGCTCGCAGTGTCAGTGGGACAGTGCTCACCAGGCAGGGCAGGTCGTGCAGTCAGCAGAAAGGCGGCTCAGCGACCGGGCGGCTCGGGTGCACAGCTGCTCGGCTCCCGGGCGGCTCGGCGGCTGGGCGGCTCGGGCGCAGGGCGGCTCGGCTCCCGGGCGGCTCGGCGGCTGGGCAGCTAGGGTGCAGGGCGGCTCGGCTCCCGGGCGGCTCGGCGGCTGGGCGGCTCGGGTGCAGGGCGGCTCGGCTCCCGGGCGGCTCGGCGGCAGGGCGGCTCGGGTCCCGGGCGGCTCGGCTGTTGGGGCGGCTCGGCCGGGAGATGCAGCGTCGGGCCGGCAGGTGCAGCGTCGGGCCGGCAGGTGCAGCGGCGGGCCGGCAGGTGCAAGTGGCGGGCCGTAAGAGGCGGCGGGCCGATGGGTGCAGCGGCGGGCCGGTAGGTGCAGCGGCGAGCCGGCAGGAGCAGCGGCGGGCCGGCAGGGTGCAGCGGCGGGCCGGCAGGAGCAGCGACGGGCCGGCAGGGTGCAGCGGCGGGCCGTAGAGTGCAGCGGCGGGGCCGTCGGCAGTAGAGGCGGAGCCGCGTCAGAGGAGGCGGCTTGGCCGCGTCAGGGGAGGCGGCGGGGCCGCGTCAATGGAGGCGGCGGGGCCGCGTCAGGAGAGGCGGCGGGGCCGCGTCAAGGGAGGCGGCGGGGCCGCGTCAAGGGAGGCGGCAGGGCCGCGTCAGGGGAGGCGGCGGGGCCGCGTCAGGGGAAGCGGCGAGGCCGCGTCAAGGGAGGCGGCGGGGCCGCGTCAAGGGAGGCGGCAAAGCCGCGTCAGAGGAGGCGGCGGGGCCGCGAGTGAAAAGGCGACCCGAGGGGTCGCTAAAAAAAAAGGGCGCGCCTCGGGGCGCGCGTCGGTGGGCCCAGACAACGGTCCTAAGGTAGGACCCGCTCTATACCATGTGAAAGTAGGAAAACAGGAATGAATGAACTATGAATGAAAGCAGTACAAATATGAAACCCTAACTGGGTTGTACCCCCTATGGGATACCCCACTACAGCCTACACAGCAGTATAAGCTATAGATATGTTCTGACACAATGTCCCACAATTTCTTGTCAGTTGTTATATTGGAGCCTAGGTACAAACTCCTTAAGACTTTAGGAGCCTGGTGGTACACTTTTTATATTCATCAAGCGAACATTGATAATTCGGCCTTATTGTCAGGCGCTTCCAAGGTTACCTGTAGCAATGACATTCCCTGTGCGTGTGAAGTTCTCAATGGGTCCATCACGGCTATTATCAAGACTGTTGTGCTCGAGGCGCTTTACAAGCGTCTCTGCTGCTATTTATACGGGCATTGGTGGAAGCAAAAACCCAAGACCTTAGATGAGATTCTGGTGCTTAGTTCCATTGAGCGGCTTTCTGTCGGCAACTCTAGCCTTTGCTATCATCATCACAACATGGCTCTCACTGACGGGCCTTCTACTGCTCTTCCTCTGGTTGGGGGTCCTCAAAGGAAGAAGTCTTTGGACGCACATCCTGAGCTGATCACCCCGAAGACGCTCTTTAATGGAGCGTCGGCGGTCAACGAGTTAACACCCCGTACGTCGGCTCTGCGCATCAATGATCAGCCTGCAGGGGAAACTGTCAACACTAGCGTCAATGGCTCGGCTCCAGCGGCCTCTTCGTCTGACGCGGTGGATCTGGACAAGGGGAAGGCTAAGGTCAATGACGCGGACGACGATGGGGGTTACCTCAGTGACGACCCTGACGATATAAGGACCCGGCGGTGCTTAATGAGATCGCAGCGCTGGCTGGTGTTGCTATCATGTTCCTGGTCCCTTTCGCCTGGAGCAAAGAGATCCCGCACATCATCGGCACGGTTAACCACCTGCTGAATATGTGGGGAAAGCACATGTCGGAGAACGCGGGGACAACAACCAGATGTCAGCAACTTTCGGCGACCTTCCTTTCGAAGCAACATTTTGGGCGTATTGAGGTGGTTTTCCTGCAAGAGGCTGAAGCAGCTTTTATGCGTAGCAGGGAGATCGAACACTACACGGTGAATGACAAAAAGTTAACGCTCGGTTGGCAACACCCAGAGAACAAGGAGTACCAGCGGGAGCGTGCTGCTCACCCAGAGGCGATCGAGGTGCTGCTGAAAGGGGTGTCGGCCGTGATCTCACCTGCGATGATTCATAAGAGCCTGGTGTCGGCGATGCGTTCCGCGAGTACATGCGAATCTGCTGCCAGCTGGCCAACTGAAGGAGAACGGAGTGCAACTGCAGGGCGACGGCGACGAAATGCTGCTCGTCGCCGCCACCGGGGAGGTGCTCGGTTGAGCACGCTATGCCGGACGAGTCCTCTGCACCGACCTTCGTCCCTGCTCGACGCAATCGTCGTCGACCGAGGTGGTGGCTCTGCGGACGATCACCTCGGAGATGGAGGCGTCCCCTGACCGATTGCATGCGAGACTTGCGCACGTCGGCATCGACACGATCAAGAGCTCGGCGAAGCATGACGTTGCTACTGGGCTCGACATCAAGCCGCCGACTGGAGCAAACCCGCCGTGTGTTTCGTGCATCGGAGGCAAGCTGGCACGGCACACCTTCCCAACAAGGGCTCGGACGCCGAGGAGGCACTGGCTGTCGTGCACATTGACCTGTGCGGGCCATTTCGGGTGGCTGCCAAGGATGGCAGCTTGTACTTTCTGCTGCTGAAGGATTGCCATACTCGGTTCGTGTGGGCAATGCCGGTCGCTAAGAAGAGCGACGTGCTGCAGGAGTTCCAGACGTGGTTGGTGCTGGTGGAACGATAGACGAAGAAGTCGGTGCTGTCGCTTCGCTCCGATCGAGGAGGGGAGTTCCTCGGGAAGGCATTCACCGACTTCCGGTCGGGCCAAGCCTAGCGGCAGGAGGCGTGGCTGACATGACGTTCAGCAGGCACATCCGGTTCTCTGATGTGGTAGTAGACCCATCAAGGAGGCTTTTGGGGGTGACAGTGGAGGGGGGGGAGGAGCCGTTTAGGCTGGTCGCGGCTTACCTCCCGGCGCAAGCCTGCAACAGGGCGAAATTTCACAGAGAGCACCTGTTGCAGTTTATACAGGCGTAGCCGCAGTCTAAGCATCTAGTGATTGTCGGGGATCTGAACATGGTCGCGGATCTGGATCTGGACAGGTCTCCGAGAACAGGGTCAGGGAGAGAAAATCAGAGGTTTCTTGACGCCTGACATGCGTACGACCTCCGGGATGCCTTCCGAGCTCTGCATCCCACGGGGCGGGAATACACCTTCAAAGTGAAGGCCGCGCAGTCAAAGTCCCGGATCGACAGGGCCCTGGTGTCTATGTCGCTGCTGGGCAACCTGGAGGGAGCTCGGCATGTGGAGGTACCAAGGAACCTATCCGATCACTGGTTTGCCATAAAGATTCGGCTGAAATTTGTGTCAGAACAAGCGTACGGGCCTGGTCTTTGGAGGTTTCACGCAACCAGGAGGAAAAAGAAGGGGGTAAGGAAGGTGATACAGGGGATTAAGGATGCCCTCCGCCAGGCGGGTCGGGAGTCCCTAGACTGTCTGATATCAAGGACGATGGTGGGGCTCCGCACGCACGAAATGGAAGAAAGAAAACGAATATCAGCAACGCAGCTGCACCTCATGGAGGAGGTCGAGCAGCTGCGTCACCTGGTCATGGGAGGATCGACAGACGACAAAACAAACTCGCTGCTGCTGACCAGGGAGGAGCAACTAGAAGCGTACCGCGAGAATGAAAGAGAGAGGCCGGAGGTTTTCGCGGGATGCACGACGGAGCTGCAAGGGGAGATCCCCTCCCCCTACCTGTCGACCAAAGTGAAGATGCGGAAGGAACGTACCTTGATAGAAGAGGTGCGGTTCAGGGGTGAGCGATGTAGGGGATCACAGCCAGTATTCAAAGCGGCATCAGCTCACTTTGAGGAGGCGTTCAAGGAGGTCCAGGTGGGGCCACATTCGGCGGATGCTGATTTCGTGGTGGACCGGGTGCTGCCGTCAGAGGCGGCGGCCAAGCTCGGTGCCCCGTGGACGGAACCCGAAGTCAAGGCGGCGTTGATCGGACTGCCAAAGGGGAAGTCACCAGGTCAGGACGGCCTGCCGGCGGAACTTTTTGTGTCTCACTGGGACCTGCTGGGGGAGTGCTTCATGGAATTTGTCAGAGGTTTTGAGCGAACGGGGGTGCTGCCAAAATCACTGACAACGGCACTAACAAAACTGTTGCACAAAAAAGGAGAGAAGGACCTATTGACAAATTACAGGCCGATCACGCTCCTCACGACGGTGTACAAGGTCCTGGCCAAGGTCCTAGTGAACAGGCTCAAGAAGGAGCTTCATCAAGTAATCTCGAAGGAGCAACATGGTTTCATACCGGGGCGCAGCCTGGCGGATGCGGTCGTGGTAGTGGCTGACGTGATCAAGGCGGCGTACAACGACGGGGAGGATTGGTACCTCCTGCTGGTGGATTTTCAGAAGGCCTACGACACGGTGTCGCGGCCCTTCCTTTTCAGAACGCTGGAGAAGCTCGGGCTGCCGGGGAACTTTGTCAGGTGGACGGAAGGCCGGCACAAGGGGGCCGGGACGAGAATGGCGATTAATGGCTGGTTAGGTGAACGGATGGAGATGCAGAGAGGAGTAAGGCAAGGTTGCCCGCTCGCGCCTTACCTCTTCCTGTGCGCCCTGGAGCCGCTCTGCGCCGAAATAAGGGGGCGCGATTTGGGGGTCAGAGCGGACGGCGGAGACGCGGTGTCATACGTGCGGTACGCGGACGAAACTTCCTCTGATCCTCCGGGGAGAAGCGCAACTGCACTCAACGGCAGCAGCCCTCGACTGGTTCGGGGATATTTCAGGCCTGCGGATCAACAAGGACAAGTCAATTGTGATGCCCCTGGGAAGGAACAAAGGCAGAACGTTCTTACCGGGGGTCTCCTTCAAATGGGCCAAGGCAGGGGTTCCGGAGCGTCTGTTGGGCATCTGGGTGACACCAGATGTTGATGCGGCACCCTCTTGGGAGAAAGCGTGAGAAAGAGGGAGAAAGGAGTTGGCCAAGTTGGAGAGTCAACATCTACTGACGACGATCAGGGTAACAGTCATCAATTGTTACATCATGCCAATACTCCTGTTCCAGGCGCGAATCTATCTACCGCCGGAGGAGTTATGGGCAAAGATTTGCAAGACCTGTGACAACTACGTCTCAAAAGGGGAGGCGACGGCAGATAAGACTTTCGTCCTCTGGAGCGGAGAACTGGCAAGACTCCCCAAGAAAGAGGGAGGGCTGGGACTAATCGACTCGAAGGACCGGTTAGACAGCATGGCGATCCGGCAGGTCGAGATGTTTCTGACGGAGCAGGACACAATAAAGCGGTGGTTGTCGGAGAAGGCGGCAGCTCTGTGAGAAGAATAGAACGAGAATGAAATGACTATGAACGAAGTGAGTACAAATAGGAAACCCTAATTGGGTTGTACCCCCTACGGGATACCCCACTATAGCCTACACAAATAAGTAAGCTATAATGTTCTGACACACCCCCATAGGCAAAGTGGGGGAGAACAAGGGGTCACAAGACAAGTCAAGCAAAGCAAAGCAAAGCTCAGGGTGGATCACAAAGTCACCACACATTCCGAGCACAAGTTCAAAGGCCAGAAGGCCAGTTCACATGCAAGATCATATATAGAGATATACAAGAGTCAAGCAAGCAAGAGCAAGAGTATATATAGGTGAAGGTACAAGCAAGGTCAAGAAGTGAGCAAGTGAGGCAAGACAGGCACAAGACCCAGCTGCGTGCAGCAGCGCTGATGATCACAAAGCGCAAGTGCCTTGGTGAAGACATCAGCAGTGTTGGCCTCAGAGGCCACGTACGCAAGTCGCAACTGTCCACGCTGCTGTAGCTCACGAGCAAGAAAGTAGCGGAGAGCAATGTGCTTTGTCCTGTGCTCCAGTCGCTTCTCTCGACACAAGGCCAGCATGGCCTTGTTGTCTACGTACAGGACTAGAGGAGAACGAGGCGGCTCTCCAAGGTCGGTCAGCAGGTAGGTGAGCCAGCGAAGCTCCTAGGCAGCCATAGGCCCGGCGTAGATCTCAGCCTCACAACAGGAGCCGAGGACAGAAGACGAGCGGGTAGCCCGCCACGAAACAGAGCCGGAACCAAGGCTGAAGGTGTAACCCTGTGACGACCGCTGCGTAGCCTGGTCGTCAGCCCAAGAAGCGTCCGCGTGCCCAGTGAGGACCACTGGACTGCGCCCTCCAAGCACTAGCCCCATGCCCGACGTACTGCACAAGTAGCGCAACACCCTCTTCGCTGCAGCCATGTGCTCTGGTCGGTGTCTCCCAGGAGCAACATAGCGTGCACGAATGCTAAGAGGGTATGCAAGGTCAGGTCGTGTGCAGGTCATCAGGTACATGAGGCAGCCAACAAGCTCTGCATACGGGCCACTCGACTCTACGGACTCATCCGAAGGCAGAGCTGAGAGCGAGTGGCGAGTAGGCAGAGGAGTGGCCTGAGGCGAGGAGTACTTGTAGCCGAAGCGCTGAAGGACCTGCTGCACCATGTGTGACTGAGTCAGGGTAATGGTGCGGCGTGCTCTGTCCCGGGTGATCTGCAAGCCAAGGTAGCTGCGCAGTTCACCCAGGTCAGTGCACGTGTGTCTCTTCTGCAGCTCGGACTTCACGTAGGCGAGTCCAGCAGTGTCACCTGTGGCAAAGACCAAGTCGTCGACGTACACGAGGATGTAGAACGGCGGCAGAGAGGTGTCGGTGCGCAGAATCAGCGACGGGTCGGCAGTAGAAGGAGCAAACCCAAGTACCGCCAGCGTAGTCCTCAGTGTGTCGTGCCACTCACGTGGCGCCAGGCGGAGACCGTAGACTGGACGCCGGAGA